GAAGGATGGGATAGAGTAATTCTCGGGGCCGTATAACCTCTAAGAAAGTGACATGCATTTGTAGCACCTAATAGATTATGCTGTTAGCTATAACATAGACCTCACACAGCATAGCGATAAGCAGAAACGCGGTGTTGTATTCACTATACCTAATAGATTATGCTGTTAGCTATAACGTAGACTACAGAATACCAATCAGTGACATAAATGAAGTAATATAAGTAGATACTCACCCTCACACAGCGTAGCGATAAGCAGAAACACGGTGAGGGTGCTCGACAGACCGTATTCAATATATATAGTCCATCCCGACATAAAGGGGTATCGAGCTTGGCCAGCGGGATATGATGGAGCTCTTGCTTGCTAATTCAACATTCTGTACTGGGGCCATTTATGCAAGATGAGCAAGGCCATACGAGTTGCAAGTGAGGATAGTGAACAGCAGCTGCTCTCAGAAATTTGCGAGATATGAAATGTGTACCAGACCAATTGTTCTGAGTTCAGTTCATCCTTGAGAAAGCAGCCTGGTTCCAGGTGCTCTCTACTCTCCCTACAACTAACATTACCAGCACCTGATGGACAAGGACTGAGAGGGGGGGAGGGGAAGTAAAGAGGAATACTGCACACTCTTGAGAAGGTTGCTCATAATATAGATCGAAAACATTCAAGAAGTTGGGTTGATTGCCTTCAGTCATTCTCTTAGGAGCAAGCTATGTATATTAAACTGAAATGGAAACCCTAGCCAGGTACCAGATATTTTGTCAGCAGGCTGGGACTTAGGATTCAAATCCATTTGTTTCATAAGATTCGTACTAATGTCTTTGTGGAGAGATTATAATTGAGATGTGATAGCATGTCTGAACTTTCACGCTAATTCATTCCCTCTGAGTTGATGGCTTAAAAAATGGGTCCCATATATACCAAAATAGATATGTCATCCAGAGTAGGATTTATCGGTGTACTATGATCCACTATCACATAGACATAGAATAGTAGTGACCTACGAGACCATCCAAGAACCAGAACAGCATTCATGAATTAGTTCAGACAGTAGAAATCCATTAATAAATAAGGATATGCAAGTCGCAACATGAAGTTTGTGTTCCACCAATGGAAGAGGGATATGTAAATTGTAAATATCAAAGAGAGTCTGAGCCTTGGAATTTTCACTGTTCTAGCCTGTTCTTAAGGCTGCCGATTTCTCTGGTGATGCCGTTCATCTTTACAATGGGAATCAGGCGACTGTCAACGGTGTGCCAATTCTGAATCCCAGGATGGCTTCAGCTCTGAAAAAGAAGAAAAATAAAAAGAAGAGCAAAAGCCTGCAGCTGAGGGCATCTAATGCCAGTCTCAGCTGTTTTGTCTTCGTCTGACACGTTCTCTGTACTGTGCATGATGGCACTGCCATGTAATAATAAATACATTAGTACTTGCCGACGTATCGGCATACATTCGGAGTCCGAAAACCATTTGAAATCGCCAAACGTCGGCGAGTGACTCTTATACTGGCTCCATGGATGTGCACTTGTTCATTTCTGCATGGCGTTTTGGTGCGTGACACAGCCTTGTCTCTGCACTTGAATTCATCTTACTGAGTATTTACTCTAGCCTTTATCGAGCTTTACCCGACCTTCGCGTAGCAAGACGCGAATTTGCTTTACAAGTTACCCTCGTTCTCATTTCATCAACATGACAATGGATGCGCCACTATGGGTCAGTGAAACTTCGGTTACTTCTAGGAAACAGGTCGAGGAATGCTTACTCAGAGCTATCAGTTTCTACCCTTTGGCTTTCGACAATTTATTTGAAAAACTATTATCCATGGCACGGTCTCATGTGTACTCTGTTTCGCTACCGCGCGGCTGCAAGAGCAGATCCATTGCGGTGAATTGAATAGAAACGAGCAAGAAGGTTGTAATCCGGTCAGCAACAGCGCGCTTCTGCGTGTTGGTCGCGGCGAATTTGACCTACATGCTGTAGTCGTGCCAGCTATTTTGGTGGGTCATGCATATCTTTACTCTTTTGCGGTAGGTGTAATGAAACCTAGTTACTCTCCTTTCTTTACCTCAGCCTGACACGCTGTGGCGGCTCTTGTCAAATGAACTTCTTACGGTGGACGGGTCTATCAGCCGCGATACAGCTTTTCAGGTTATCGGCGTCTCAGAGTACGTCAAAAATGCAGTAATCCGTACGAAATATGTCGGTGGACCTTTGAGCCGGCGTCTATCCAGAGACGTTCGGACCATACATCTCCAAAGATACTTGCTTTGTGGACGTAGAAAAATGCATTAGCACATCATGTGAGTCATTTTGCCCGGATTCCCCAAACATCGTCTAATTGATCATTAGTTCAAAGAAATTGGCGCCTGCGGGCTGGGTTTAACGCATGAGAACGCGTAAATGAAAACGTGTTGTCCGTTGGCCGGTCCTCTTTGACCTTCTTCGTATGAGCCAAATTCGAGGACCGTCTTCGATAAACGTCCCTATCGTCGTTCTGCTCCCATCGAAAGTGAAATACGATCCGTACCTGCAGGAGCGGCGTTGATTTATTCACCACCCACGATGCAGCAGTAATCAGTCCTTCTGCAACTGACCGGATATCGGCCGAATGCTGAGGAAGCCCCAAGGTAATAATATCATATGGTCTGTGCGTGGTTCTCGCATCATCACGTTGGGCACTCAGCATTAAACTTTGCTCTCTATCCAGGAACACTAAGATGCGGGCACACAACGATATGACAGTTCTCTGAATCCTCTATTCAATGGAATATCAATACGGTACTTATGGTATCGGCTGATGAGATGCACTGAGATCGTGACTTGATCCTGGCTTTGTACCATAAAGATCTGATATCAGTCCCTTTAAACTTCTTTCAATTAAATCCTCTTGCATGCTCACCTGGACAATAGTAAAGGTCGCGAGTTCCTCCCGGTAGTAGTAAGCCCCCTCTTCTTCTCGGGGTTGCTGGGAGATCCTTACGATTCAGATTTCTAGGCTCCCAATCCAGATCTTCATCGTCCATGCATTACGGATGTTCGTGCCTACATATATTCTGATCATTATGCTCAACGCTTTTACGTGGCAACATCGCCTCATCTTGTACTTACGCAAAACTCCAGCCTTCGTGGGATTCCCCACGGACAGTCATCACAAGCTATTGAATGATACAAGGGGGAAAGCGTGGAGAGCGTGGCAGCTCGCACAGGCTGTTTTCTGGTGCTGTTACCGGCGTGAACAAATTTGCGAACTCTCGTAGGTGCCGTGATTGTGTGGTGCTCGATGCTCAAGATAAAGTCGGGCATTGTATGGAGCTCTTCCACGTAACCAGGTTGGGCCTTATCTGGGATCTATATGAGACTTGCCTACAGATGAAAATGTGTCATCGCTGAAAACTCATTTGTTGCTAGCAGTCCTCGGGGAGATGGGCGAGGTCGTACCTTGCGGGTGCTTGGGGTTGTCACCAGGACGCGGTTGTCACCGAGACAGTGCGTTCCCTGCGGGAAAGAAGTTAACTACATTCAAGGTGGTGATATACCCATTCCTGGCGCAACTCAATGTTCGGACTTTTTAGTGCTGGGTGAGCGAGGTGCCCAGATATAGCACTACTAAGAAGCGCAGTTCAAGGTTCGTCTAACTTGATATGATCAGTGCACCGTTGTTGAGAATGGCTATCGCACGAATCGGTACTATTTCAACGTAGCCGCCTCTCTCCAATGATTATTTAATAGCACAGACGCGCAAGGAACATGACTACAGTGGAGTGGTTAGGCTCTTCCATGCTGATCTGTCCCATGACGGTCTCAACTCTCCCATGCCTGTCCTCTCAGATCTTGATTCTTCAGGCCATCATGGTTTACTGTTTTGATTTGAATCATAAATGATCCGGCTCCGTTTGATTATCAGACCAATCTTACCTGCCAACGGCTTCTATATACATCTCTCTTCTTACCATGATGGATGTGCATTCGTGCATTTACTTTTATATCACTTGGGGTAACTTTTCAAACAGGCCCGGGCGCCTAGCACCTTCCGATAAAAATGTAAAACAGATAGGAGCCCAAGCACTGGTACGAATCACTGCCTACTACACTGACTCGATGGCCTCGGTCGGAGTGCAGCCACGAAGCACAGTGATGGATATCATAATTGTTTCTTAGATCCAGTCACCCAAAGTAAGTACATGTCCTTCGGAGTGCCGGTACTTCCACTAATGTAGTTTTTTTTCGGTTCCGTGGTAGACATAATCATTGTCATCAACCTGATGAAGTGATAGAGATCCTAATCCTAGATGGGATGACAGCCACAAAACATATTGAAAAAGAGTCATACACGGAATTGGACTCAGAAAATCTTCTTTCCCGCTCGTGATATGACTCGTGGAGAGCCTCATGGCGGCTAGATTGGTATACGTTGACGTATTGATGGCGTCTCTCCATTGCTATATTAGAGCGGCCGAGCATCTTGAAGTCAAACTTCCCTTCCTAATCCTTCTCCCTCCGAGCCCACCATGGACCCCATGGACCCCATGGCCATTTACTCAGCTTCCCCCTCGATGGAATTCACCCAGGCGGGTATGAACTTGTCGTCTCGCCCATCCTGGGTCAATCACTTCCTGAGTTTCTCGTCTCTCTTCGGTCTAGGAGCATTGTTCACCACACATTCGTACATATGGGATAGCTTCAGGTTGCTGGCGCTGGGATCCATCATTGAAACGGGGCGTAGACTGTGCCAGTGGCTTATGGAGCGTGTTCGGTTTCGTGAGTCCTTCATTTCGCAAACCATTAAATCCAACCTCAATATGTTTCAGAATATTCCTTGACGGCCAGATTTGACCAAGGGGATCCTGCTTACGAGTGGATCGTTCATTTTCTGGTACGTAAAAATTCTGTCGTCCTACGGAGGGCTTGATAATTTTGGATTTCGTACGAATGTATACATTTGATCCTGAGTTGATCTAGTGTAAACTTAACCTTTGACGGAATCACGTTTACCTGCCCTTCGCAAGGATGGGTTCATGCTCTCTGTTAACGTCGCTAACATACTGGTCAGACACAGGAAAAAGTCTGGAAACGATCTAGAGATTTCCGTGTAACTGCGAAAAGCTCGAAGCGCGAGTGGTCTATCGAAACAGGGCCTGAAAGCGTACAAGGAAATGCGGAATACGTGCCAGAATACGCCAATCCTCAATTATTCCGATGGGAAGGTTACTGGTTGGAAATCAAGCGTACGAATGAATTATTTGCTGGTAATCGTGCCGCAGGCGGACCGTCGAGTGGCGGTACAATCTACGTAACGTGAGTTGAGCTTATTTTCCAACCAACGCGTCGAATTTATTGATAGACACAGTGTATATACAATGGACATGAGCATCCTCTCGAGACTCGTGGAGGAGGCACGGCGTCGATATATCAACGTTAGCAAACCCAATGTTATTGTTCATTCTACAGAAGCTGTGGTGGTAGTCGTTCATCTTCGTGTCGCATTCGTCCAGCGCTGATCTTGTGTTCAGATGGGGCACAACTACGGGAGAGGGGGGATCTGGGCTGACGTGAAGCGGAAACCGAAGCGCCCCTTGGAATCCATCATTCTGCGGGAAGGTACCTTGCAATCGCTTATACAAGACGCGCGGGAATTCATCGACTCTGAGCAATGGTACAACAAGGCCGGAATCCCACATCGGATGGGCATCCTGCTTTACGGACCTCCGGGAACCGGCAAGAGTATGTGGCGCCGTTCGCAGATCTCTTAATATACATAATTCTGATGCTAACCCAGGTTCGACAATTTACGCTTTGGTGGGGCGGCGCACCTATACTTGGCTAAAGACACCTTATCTTATCATCACGACTTTTTCAGGCAGGCGAATTGGGATTCGAGATATACTCGCTTTCATTAGCGTTGAACTAGTATGTGCAACTTTCCTCCGACATATGATCTTTACGACCCGGAACATCTGACTGAACCAAACAGTGTGGATGACTCCTTCCTTCAACGCGCAGCCTCAGCCGTGCCCAAGCACTCAATATTCCTAATTGAGGATATCGATTGTGCCTTCCCGTCTCGCGAAGATCGAGAAGAGGACCTTTTGCATAACCAATACATCACCTATGATCCCTATTCCCCGCCCCCACAACGTCGCCGGTCCCTCGTTACGCTTTCTGGGTTGTTGAACGTCATCGACGGCGTAGGCAGCGAGGAAGGGAAATTGTTTTTTGCCACGGTAAGTGTGCTTACGGGTGCTTTCGACCAGTTCGATAATATAAATCTAATCTCCTGCTGCGAACTCCACATAGACAAATTACATTGACCGACTCGACGCGGCTCTCCTCCGACCAGGGCGTATCGACAGGAAAGTTCCCTACAGCCTCGCGACGCGGGAACAAGCGGAAGCTCTTTACGCACGGTTCTTCCCTGAAAGCCGCTTACCGGACCTCGGCATCATGGTCGAGAAGGGAGATTCAATAGAACAGTATGCCAGAGACTTCGCGGATCAGATCCCCTCTGATGAGTTCTCCACGGCCGAGTTGCAAGGGTACCTACTGGCTCACAAGAAGGAACCTAAGCAGGCTGTGAGCGATGTTGACGCTTGGATTGAGAGGGAAAGGCAGGAGCGGAGAGAGAAGCGAGAGAGAGAAGCTAAACGCTTGGAGAAGATGCGGGAGCAGGTCAAAAAGCGTTCTAATATGTATCCACCTATGCCAGTTGTCCCTGCTATGCCACCTGTGATAGTGGATGATTTTTAATGTCTTGATTTCTTAGAATATGTATTCATTTATCTAGTTGCTCCTCAAACTGGTGGTTGGAAGACATAATGTGTTCCAGCCAATTAATTTCGAGTGGTGACTTGGCACTGAGGGAACATTATCAGATATAAAGAATGCAAGACATCATCAAATGGTAATATCAAGTCACCAAAAGATGTTCAATTGAACTTGAAGTAGAATTGGCATACCTTATGTGCTGATGAAAGTGTTGAGCAATAACCAGGGTTTTATTTGATCACCTGATCCTCTCCATTCTTAACCTTGCTAAAGTCCTGTGCTTGTTGGGATTTTGCTAGAAAGTTCTAGAAAGGGCAATCCAGCATCATGCCAAGAGTTGATGAGTAAGCTCGAGAGAAAGAGAAAGTTGTAGTAAATTCTAGATATAAGTCTGGAGAGTATAAATACAAGCTCTGTAGGAGCTGTAGAATAATAAGTTCATACCATCTGGTCTTACCAGCCTGGAGTCTACCCTGCACATCACCAAGGATTTCCAACAGTGCTGCTATATAAAAACTTGGCTATAAACCCAAGAGATGCAGGGTACATCTATTCTCCAACCATCAATCATTAATGACCCTTGTTAGAAGAGTGCAAGCCTATTGGTCATCCATGGACCTTTGTTTAGTTGATGCACACTTTCTACATGCCATAGATAATAAAGTCACAGTTGCATGCTGCAAGATCTGAATCATGCCTGATCATATGAGTTAGACTTTGATTAATATCAGGCCACTAAAGTAAAGTGAACATGAGAAAATGATGCTCATTCTCATTGTAAACATGTCTTATAGCAGTTCAGGATGACTTGATACAAGTCATATTTGGCCTAAATTGACATTGGACACAGACATTTGTTCATCCTATGTTACAGATGAGCCTCATGCTGACAGTGTGTTGAACACAGAAAGCCCTGCATTATGCTCAAATGCTGTAACAGTCATGTCATCAGTTTTGTCAGCAAGAAACTTCCTTGCTTTGAAGGAGGACTCACTATCTATAAAGATCATCATGTATGTTTTTCCACTCTGCAATACTATTTGAGACAGTCTCCACAAGTCAGTAGCCACTAGGTTCATTGAATGAGTGATGAGCATGTTGCACAAAGACACAATCCTCATACCTGCTCTGGAGAGAATCTGAGGTGATTTTCAAGCCATCCATAAAGTTCTTTAACATCATTTCCTTGATCTTTTTAGAACTTGCATAAACAAAACAATGATGCCAGTGGCACAGGGAGGTAGATGATGACTGATGATATGGCCTGGAGAGTGGGTGCTGCATCTAGGATATACATGCCATCCAAGCCTCAACCTGCAAAGATCTCTTTACCAGACTTGTCTTGGACAGCCACATGGCCTTTAAAAATACAGTCAACAATCTGGCTTTGTCTAGAATGCTCACAGACACAAGGTTCACTACCAATGAAGGTGAATGCAGTGCATTTTTGAAGGTTAGCTTGACATCTTTCTCATCAAGCTGGAATGTCATCATCATCCTCTGGCCGAGAATCTCAAGTTCTCTTCTGTTCAATAGCAGATGAATCAGTATGAAATACAACTGGTATGTATTCAGTGAAGTCCTCATAGTTGCAAAGGAAGTAGTTGCTGACTCTAGAGTCTATAAACATCAAGGTTACAGAAGGTGAGTGTCTCTCAAATGTAGTTGTCACAAAAGCAGTTTCAGTGGAGTCAGTTTCACAGGTGAATTATGTGAGATCTAACTGGCATGTAACCTGAACACATGATAAACTAGTGCTGTATCATGTTTGTACAGTCCATTAAGCCCAAGTTGCATGTGATCAGAACACATGATAAACTGATGCTGTATTGAGTTTGTACAGTCATGCCAGAGTTCACTATATGTGTCTGTTGACTAAATGCTTCAAGGCCAGTAAACAGTTGGCTTGAGATGAAGTGGTAGAAGAATAAACTTTAGCTCAAAGCTGGGAATATATAATGAGAACTATGCTACTTATATACTGTTTGAGTCTGAGTTAAATATATCCCTACTAATTGTGAATTTCTATGCTATAGTGCTCTTTGTCCTTGAGCATTGTTACTTCCTACAAAAGAGTATTGTTTATTGTTGAGGGTTGTTGTTGCATCAGAGGACAATAGCAGACTTGGCCTATTATAGTGACTAAGCCTGCCCACAGTTCTAAGTGCTGGTCTAGACACTCTGACTAAGCATAAATAGAGGTTAATTGAGAAAAGAAAAGGAAAATTTGTAATATTACTCTCTCTTTAAGACCATCATCTTGATAGGTATTCTAGAGAGTTTATAGTCACAAATTGCATCATCTGCATTTATATGTTGTTCATTGATCTATTGATTAGATTCAGGGCCAAAACTCTTCCAACTAACCAAATAGTCAACTGTGGTTCATGTTCTCTCTTCACATGCATGAACTTTGTGGAGCTTGTGATTAAAAACTTGATTGACTTTATAGTGTTCTTTATTATTGATCAGTTCAGATTCAGGTGGGGGTGAGTGTTCTTGGTTGGAGTATGTGGAAGCAACATATAGAGTAAGAAGGATTTCATTGAATACATCATGGATTTTTTATGCAGTAGGAAGATGGAGTTTATATGTGGAGATGTCAACTTTGGTGAAAATGAGAAAAGGTCCAGTGCATTTATCAGCAAGTTTTTATTTTGGACAAGAGAGATAAAGGTTGGTTGTGTCCAACCAAATCTTGTTGTTGATGGCAAAGGTATGAGCTGAAGCATGATGTTTGTCATATTGTTTTTTCATGGATGTCATCACCTTTTCAAGGACAGTGCATGTTTCATCATGAATCTTAAACATTGTTGCAGCAAAGTCAGAGGAAGTGGGCATTATCATATGGAGTTATGTTGTATGAGAGATATTTGGGTGATAGCTGTGGTTTATAAAGAAAGGAGTCTTCCTGATGGTGGAGTGGATGCAGTTATTGTGTTGGAAGGCAGCTAGAGCAAGCCACTCAACCCAGTCATCTTAGTGGTAGTTGATGAATAGCCAGAGATATTTTTTAATTTCCTGATTGACTTACTCTATTTGTTCATCAGTCTGAGAATGGTATGCTATAAAGGCATTATGATGAATGTTTAAGAGTCAATATAAGTCATTAAGGAATTTCAAGATAAATTGTGGTCTCTGATTGGAGATAACAACTTGTGGTATACTATATTTAGCATAGACTTCATCATGGAGAATCTTGGCCCACTCTTCTGATGTTAATTCTATCAAGCACATGACCAGGATGATCATTTTAGAGAACCAATTGATGATTACTAGGATAGTGTCATAGCTGTTGCAATTGGATAGTTCTATGACTATGTTAACTGAAATGTGAATCTATGGTATTTGTGAGATCTCATTTGAGTGGGGCAGTGCTGCATGTGGTTGGGTCAATACCTTCTCATGTTGACATGTTTCACACTCTTTTACATACTGTTCTATATCTTATTCCATCTTTGGCCACCAGTACTCCCATAGTATCAGTTCTTTAGTTTTAGTGATCTTCAGATGCTCTGCTGTTGCATGGTCATGGCAGGTGGCAATAATTTCACCTCTAAGCACTTGATTATATGGTATATAGATCTGGCCATCATATCAGATCAGCCTTCCTTTCTTCACCATTCCTCATTCATGATTGATTGAGAGAGCCACTCATTAGTCCTATTGACTGGTATCTCATGTGGCACTTTTGATCTGCTTGTGAATCTCCTTCTCTGTTGGCATTATCATTGTCTAGAAGTGTTCAGGCTTTAATAGTACCACTCTCTCATTGTCATCACTCCTCTGATTGTGGTCTGCCTACCAACTGAGTAAATCTGCCTTCTTGTTTGCTGCTTTTGCCTTATGATGAAGTGTATGGTTGTATTCAGAGAGTTCTATAATCTATCATGCTTGTCATTGATTGAGTTTCTGAGGAAGTCAGAAATATCAAAGGTTTTAGTGGTCAGTCCAGATTTCAAAGGTCTGGACTGCACTGATCAGATAATGATGTCACTCTGAAAGGGCTAGCATGATCACTAGAAGTTTCTTGTCATATATTTTGTAGTTGTGTTCTGTCATAGTTAATGCCTTAGATAAGAAGGTGACTGACTACCATCTTCCATCCTGCTCCTGTGAGAGTATAGTGCTGATTGCTTCTTTGCTCAAGTCAGCTTCCACTCTGAATCATCTGTCCTGAGTTGGAATTACTAAGATGATGTCTTCAGTGAGTCATCATTTGAGGTTGTTGAATGCAGCTTGCTGTGAGAGCCTCCAATTTCATAGAGCATTTCCCATTAACTGCATTATTAGATGGATGATTTTGCTGTAGTCTTGAATGAATTATCAGTAAAAGTTAGTGAATCCTAAAAAGAATTGCAACTTCTTCTTTTTGGTTGGCATTGGCCACTCTGTTATTTCAGCTATCTTGATTGGGTTTATCTGAATGCTTTCTTTGCTAATGATTACTCTGAGGTATTCTGTTTCCAGAACCTCAAACTCACACTTTTTCACCTTAAGGAGGAGTTTGTGCTTTCTCATCAGTGTGAGTATCTGTTGGACTAATTTTTAGTATTCTTCATGATTTTGTGACATGATAAGAATGTCATTGAGATAGATTGTGATCTTTCCAGTGGTGATGAGATCTTTAAAGATGTCATTTATCATCCACTGGAATGTTGCTGATGAGTTTGTGAGTCCAAAAAACATGACTATGGGTTTGAATAGTCCTTAGTTGGTCTGGAAGGCTGCTTTCCACTCATTGCCCTTCTTGATCTGTACATTGTTATATCCCCATCTAACATTCAACTTGGTGTAGTATTGGGTGCCATGTAGCTTGTCTATAAGTTCTGAGATAAGCAGAAGAGGATAATGATTTTTGATTGTCATCTCATTTAGCTTTCAGTAGTCTTAGACCAGTCAGAGCTTTCTGTCCTTTTTTTTGACAAAGAAAAAGAGAAAAGCCATGGGGAATTTGGAAGAGTGGATTCACCTGCTGGAAA